TAAAGATACATAAATATATTAGTAATCTATAATAATAAAAGCGTAATATGCTAATTAGACCAGAAGTCCTTCCGAAGGACCTTTCAGATGAAGCTGGGGCTGCAAAGGAAGCCGAGGTCCTGGATGCCAGCCGGGGGCCAGAGAGAAGCCCAGATTCTGGTTGCCAGGGGGAAGCCGGTGCTGGCAGCTGGGGGAAGGAAGGCCTACTTTTGCATGAATTTCGTGCATTGGGCCTCTAGTTATATATAATAAATTAAAGTTCATAATAAAAGATATATATCAAATGGGGATGTATATATTATATATATATTATATGGTGTGTGTATGTATATATACATATACACACATATGTACATATGTATATATATTAATAGTGAACTTGGAATCATGTTACTGTATCTTTAAAAAATAAAGTTCCAATAAAAATTCATTAACTCCTTTCCAATATAGCAATCCTCCTGTCCAGCTGTGAAAAGTACTAGATGATACTTATTTGCCATTTGTGTTATTTACGGTCCATGACTTTTATGGTAACTGGTTCCTATTATTGGTTTCTATTAATGTAAAACATAAGTGAACAGAAATGAGGCGTGAATCATTTCTTTTTATTAGCCCACTGTCTTCCCTCAGCGCCGGCAGGAACTCCAGCTGTGGCCCGTTAGGGATAACCTAGTTAAGGAAGGATAAGGAATCGGACTAGAAATCTGGGTCCCTTTTCCATCACTTCTCTCCTGCACAAGGGTGGCAAAAAGAGAAAACAATATGTACTTAACGGCACAGCAAAATCCTGAGCCACCTCTGACTTGTATTGTGCATTATGTGATGCTAATTTGTCAGACAACCAGTGGATTCCCATAACTGGTATATAAGTAACTACTAATTTAAAGGCAGGATATGCGGTGAATCACTTTTCCCCGTTGTGGCTTCTGGACTTGGCTATGCATTCGTGTGATTGCATGGTTGCTATTGTGTCAAAGAATTTTAAATAAAGAACACAAGAAAGAATAAAACAGAAGGTCTGACATTCACCTAAAAGCCTTATTTTAGTGAAAAAGCAGTTGTATCCTTTTTCTATTGATAGCAGTGTTCTTTGAAAGGTAAGCTCAGAATTGTTTCTACTATTTTTACTCAAAAAGGGAGAGGATTCTTTTCAAATTATGTTCAACGAAACATGGTTTTTAAAATTTGAAAGTAGAGCAACTATAACTATAGATTTACCAGTTTTAGCATAAAAACTCTTTTGATGCGCAGAAAATTAATGTAACGCATTTTCAATATCATCACTTGTACTAGTGTTGACATTTCTTGAAGATGCAATATTGTGTCGTGTATTTTTTAATTCAGAGAAGAACGAGTTGTAACTTAGGCCTGGCCGGCGTGGCTCAGTGGTTGAGCGTCAACCTATGAACCAGGAGGTCTCGGTTCGATTCCTGGTCAGGGCACATGCCGGGTTGTGGGCTCGGCTCCCAGTGTGGGGCATGCAGGAGGCAGCCCATCCATGATTCTCTCTCATCATTAATGTTGCTATCTTTCTCTCCCTTCCTCTCTGAAATCAATAAAAATCTATTTTAAAAAATTAATTTGCTAAACTTGCTGTGCTTTGTAGGCATTCGGTAGCCTCCATCATCAATAACACGGTAAAGGAATCCTCCGTAATGAAACATCCTGTCTTGCCAGGGGCCCTTTCGTGACGTCAGTGACGTATTGAAGCAGCGCTACAAGCCCTTGGAGCCGACGTTGCGGGTGGCGGAACCAATCAATACGTTAAAAGAGGCCAGAAGTGAATTCAGAAGATTGGAATTGTCAAGGAACGTTCAGGAGAACATGTGAGTCCTTAGCTTAAAAAAGCAGCTGTCCCGTGTTTGGGGCCTGATGGTATCCACCATTTCCCATTTCTGATATTGCAGAGAATCTTTTATTTGTGAGAAAAGGTCAAGCCCCCGTGACCTCTCTCACAGCAACCATTTTCGACGACGTGCAAATGTTTTCGATAGGACAGTATTGATGAGGATATTGACTGCATATATGTAATCAATTGTCGAATTGGATCAGGGGCCCACCCTACCCTCATCTCAACTTATTATTTCTGCAATGACCGTATTTCCAAGTGAGGTCACAGTCTTCAACATGTTCTTCAAGATAAGCGTAGGAAGAGGGGATGGTACTATTTGACACAGAGAGTGGATCGCAGAGGATTTCTTTGAGAAGTTACTTCAAAGCTTTATTTGTTTGTTCTTGGTCCTGAAGAAGCTCATCCCACTTTCTCTTGTCTCTTGAAGAAACGGTTTTCCTCATTTCTAGGCCTGCGTTCCTGAAGCCAGGATATTACATCAGCAATTTGTAAATAACTGGCAAGTAACTTTTATGAGAAGCTCTGGCATTTATTAAGTTTTTATTTATTTCTGAGAGAGGAAGGGAGAGGGAGAGAGAGATAGAAACACCCATGATGAGAGAGAATCATTGATCGGCTGCCTCCTGCACACCCCCTTCTGGGGATCGAGCCCGAACCCCAAGCATATGCCCTGACCAGGAATGGAACCATGACCTCCTGGCTCATGGGTTGACGCTCAACCACTGAGCCACACTGGCTGGGCAACTCTGGCATTTACTGATCCAGCAACTGTGTGCATGTCAGAGATAGTCCTAGGCTCCGGGACGTAGCACCAAGGAAAATAGGGGCTCTATTCTCATGGATGTCTGTGCCAGCAACTGTGTGCATGTCAGAGATAGTCCTAGGCTCCAGGGACATAGCACCAAGGCAAACAGAGGTTCTATTCTCATGGATGTCTGTGCTTCTAGCTTGAACCGAACCAGGAAACCTAATGCAATTCTGAGCAAACGTTGTCATAGGAGAGGTCCGGAAAACGGCCAAGGATGTGTCAAAGACCACCAGTGCCATGACTTTTTGTGTGTGTGTGTAGAGTTTGCTCTGGTTTTGGATGATCTGGATTTTGGTAGAGAAAAGAAAGATAAAAGCAGGTGGATCGTTTAAAAACTAAAAAAACATGACGGCAGGAAAAGTTCACAGAACAACAGGACCAGTTTGGCAGAAACTAATTTTTACATGAGAGGCAGTGGAAACAAACATTGGGCCAGGCTTCTGGCCAAGGACCTGAGGGTTTATCGGTAGATAATGGAGAATTATTTAAGGCTTTTCAAGTTGTTGATTGTGAGACAGATGTCCTTAAGAAGAAATACGCTGGAAGAAAGGAAACCCAATAGAAGAATATTGCAATCATTTTGGTGACAGGTAGTGGGATGGAACTAAGCTGACGGCAGGATTCAGTATTCCACTCTTGTTCTTTCCTTTCTTCTTTCCTTCCATAATCTCTCTGATCGCTTCTGTTGAAAAGACACCAACTACCAACTCTGTGCCAATGGCTTCCCCTCCCTAGAGCTCTAAGTTCTTAATGCAACATCCCAGATTTATATTTCCAAAGGTCATCTTTGTTTGCATCTCCACTGTGTGTCCCTGACTCAGAATGTCCCACACTGGCCCCCTCTTCCTCTTCCTCTTCCTCTTCCTCCTCCTTCTCCTCCTCCTCCTCCTCCTCCTTCTTA